CGGAGCATAAAAAAAACATTGAGTAGTTGTACCTCTGCGTGATGTATATGGATCAGATATAGTAACTCTGGCCTGTCTACTACTTCTTCAGGCCGAACTAAGATATCTGCTGCTTTCTCATATTCTAAAGTTGCCTATAAGAAGAACATAAGTACCACAGGAAGTATGGAACTAACGAAACTAAACTGATAGCAGGGTATGAGATACCTTTTGAGGCTGACCCATCCTTTGATACATTAAACCAAGTATAAAATGGGCATGAGCATTCTTAGGCATTTTGCGCACAACATGTATCAATCCCTAAAATGGTAGAATTTCAGTTATGCCAAAAAACACCATCTACGAAGGCTGACACTCATTGAAGTTTGAACATCAAGCAAACCAACTGAAACCCTAACACCTATTCCAAAAGGCAATTCTAATTAGGAGCTTTGAACAACTATCCATTTGTGGTCTAGTATCAATTAGATATAAAATACAAACAGGTAGGAAAGATCAAGATATTTGGTAAAGGAATGGTTAGTAAGCAGATCATTTAGATTTCCATTAACAAGAGCAGTATAAGTGTTCAGCACATAGATGATTGTGAGTCACACTATATGGTTTACAAATATTTATAAATTATGCTTTCAATATTTTTGGTATCATACACTACAACAGCCAAATGCTGTTACACATAGTAATGGACATATACAACTTCCTGCCTATGTAGAAGGAATGGAATCCGGGAGATCAATCCAGGACATCATTCTACATTGGATTAGTTTAAAAGGAGGATTCTATAAATTGGTCTGACCTTCCGCTCTACACTCTTTCCACCAACCTATGCTATTGCCACTCTAAACTGTTGCACTTCCCAAAACTTCATATGAAATAAGCAAGTGAATTTTAATTTTCCATTCCGACCTAGTCCATTGTTTCCTCGAAGCTAAAACATTGGCAAAAATCACTCTTTTAGATCATTTAACAATGGGCAATAATAAAAGTATCATAGTGTCATACAAAATTAGATTTGTCTAAATGGACGGAACGAACTTTAAACATCATTTACTCTAATTTTGTATAGCATATTAATACAATGAAATAAAATTGTGAAAGTTTTCTATAAGATATTTCTAATAAGATCATTTTATACTAATGTACATTAATGTTTTTATTTAATTGAAGTCCAAAGTTCGTCCAGATTGACACAAAAGAGTAAAATTGGACGAATACACTGGTACGGAGGTAGTATTAATTATTTCTTGCCTAATTTACGTTCTTGAAATAGGCTAAGGACCTTCATTTGAGAGGCTGTAAACAAATCTGATTAAGTATGATCCCATAGGTTGATTCTTGATTGATTATGTGATCTTTTTTTTTCTACAAAGGTAAGAAAATATGTCTATCACATACCCACCAGATATTAAAGTCTTACCTTAACAGCTGTGATTTTTAATGAGTAAAGCAGATTTAATGATCTGGAGTTAGGCTGAAAGTTTAGTTGCATGAGCATATAAGAGGGTTCAAATTAATCAGAGAGGACAGAATCCTATTTGAATTTTTTCAATTTGTTAAATGTTAGACTATTTCTCTTGTGCATGAAATGATCAATTAGAATTTACAATTAGTACTGTCTAGTTAAGTTTTGTTTACATTTCAAATTATGTAAATGAAAGTTGCCTTAAAATAGAATTGAAGAACACTGAAACACATGCTGGCTGACAAACTAAACCAGACAAATCAAACATTAAAATCAACCCAGATTAAGAAAATGTGAAATTTGCACTAAATAGGACTAAAACATAATGACTTTCCTAATGTAGGACTTAAACTTTTTTATTCCCTAAATAGGACTTAATAATGACCTAGTGAAAGGAATAATGTCCAGTAATGATGGACATGATGGACATTTACTTGAATAATGACTACTTCATAATGATCAAAGGTCCTACATTGGGAAATAAAAATATATGGTCCTATATTGAGAAAGTCATTATGTTTTAGTCCTATTTAGGTAAATTTCTTTAAGAAAATTATGTACGCACATATCATAGACTTAATTTCCTGCACCATGAAAGCATAAAGAAATAAAAACACAAAGACTGTATAAGTTAAGCAAATATGTGGAGATAATAGAGAACACAAGGAGCAGAACACATCCTACATTTTTAAGGCTGCTAACTTTTTCGTCGCGTGATGAAGTTCCGAGACCGTTCTGTTCAACGTCTGCATCAGCTCCATTGCAATCAAGAATGTTGTCTACCTTACTGATTCTTGACCGACATTTCCCTAACTTCTTTTGTTTACCTTCTACATCCATCCCTTCCACATGTTTGCTCGTCTTATGTTGGCTACTATCATCAGTGGCTATCCTAAAAACAAATTGGCCAAAAAAAGATATAAATGCGAGTACTCCACAGAAAGGAAGGAAAAATGCAGTCGTCTCTTCTAATGTATACTGTTCATTCGATTTTAGGTTTATCGATGCAGAAATTGCTAGGCAGTAAATAAGAACAGAGAGGACCTTGGAGTTGTGTCGGAAGATAGAGTGGAGACGGCGGTGGGGAGACAATCAAGGCCGTCGGCCTCAGGTGGTTCAACATTGAGGTCAGCCAAAATTGCGACTTTGGACGGCTGAGTTTGCAGCGATTGTGACCAAGAGGAGATGGCGGAGGAGGTGTCGGTGCCGACGAATGACTCTAATTTCATTGGAGCCGGCCGGAAATTCTCCGATGGTTCAGACATTTTCTTTCCTTTTACACTGGAGAAGAGCGCCGGAGACAAGCAAATCACCTTAGGCGAAAAATGGGGAAAATAAGAGAAGTTAGGCAAGAAAAGAAAAGAGTAAATTATATAAAATGTCCCCAGTTATAGGTCGTTTTACATATTTAGTCCATACATATCAAATATTACTAATTTAGTCCCCAATTATTATATTTATTTCCACGAATGGTCATTTGTTAACATTTCATTAAGAACGTGGACAAAATTGTATATTCATACTTCTATCTCTCTTCAATTAAGCTTCCTTCATTTTCTCATACTCTTTTCCAAACTCGTTGCTGAGTTTGAATCCCTTAAATCCAAAACTTAAATGATCGTTCCTCCAGTTAGATAAACAATTGAGAGAAGAGTGATGATTTTGGTTTAGGGTTCAAAGCTAGAAACTCAGCGACGGGTTTTAGAAAGGTATGCAAGGGAGGAGGGAAGCTTAATTGAGGAGAGAAAGAAGTGTGAATTTATAATTTTACCCACGTTTTTAACGAAAATGTTAACAAAGGACCATTTGTGGAAATAAATATAATAATTGGGGAATAAATTAGTAATATTTGATATGTAGGGACTAAATATGTAAAACAACTTATAACTGGGAACCTTTTATGGAATTTACTCAAAAGAAAAAGAGAAATGTTGGAGGGTTTGGGTAACAAAGATACTCCTCCCTCACGTTTTAATTACTCCGTATAATGTTTTATTTCAATTATTTTCAAATTAATTTATATGAAAATATAGATAGAATTTAAAAATATTTTATACATTTAAAAATTAGAGTAAAATTTTTATAAAATAAGAGATGACATCATTATATTATTTTATCAGATTAATAATAAAAATGAGTAAAGAAATTGATTAAAATTTAATCATATGAATATTAAATAAATAATTTAAATTGGAATGGATAACAAAAAATTAGACTAAATTTCATACTCCGTATACGGTTCTTTATAGAAGAGTTTCTATATTTAGTTTTTTTATTTTATGATACTCAATTATATGTTATGGAGTATATTAAATTTTTGAAAAATATTTTATAATCAGTTCTTTAGAAATTATATGTAGAAAACATATTTGACCTAAAGACTAATAATCGGATAGTTTTTTCTAATTGAGGACCACAAATATAATATCTTAGAATTAAGGATTAGAGCTTATTCTCTTCAACTTATTTTTATTACTTATTATTTATACTCATTCGAATCAGATGAGACCAGATTAGATCAAAAACCGCTTTAAATATAATTACAATCAGATCAGATCATGCGAGATTATATTAAAACTTATTCTAATCATATCAAAATCAATCAGATCATGTTAAAAGAATAATCTCTAAATATAGAAGACCACTTGTTATAAAGAATAGAAATTACCCTAAATAGGACTAAAACATAGAGAAAAGTACCAAAATAAAACTTCCATTTTTTCCCTGAAATAGAACTTCGCATTGTGGTAACGTGACACTGTACATGTGCATATTACTATACTTTTTGATAAATGTACATGACCATGTTTGGTAATGTAAATACATTTTAAGTCTTATTTCGAAAATAAAAACATAGAAGTTCTATTTTGGTATATTTTCAATGTTTTAGTTCTATTTTGGTCTTTTTCTCATTGAACATTGATTGCAGATTGGTGACAAAGTCATCTTTCTCTTTTGATCTTTTTCTACGTTACTCAAACTTCTAACCGCTCTATCTTTTTTTTCGTTTACCCCATTTTTTTCACCTCCATTTTCTTAACTTCTTTTATCCTCTTTCCGATTTTTTTCATCAATCTTGTTAATGAAGCACATAGTGAGTATTCCGAGCCAAATATTATTGTTAGTGATGATAAAATTTAGGATGAGGTGGGGTTATTTGGATTGGGGAATATGACATTTGGGTTAAACCATATTAAAGATTGAATCTAATCGATTACTTAGTTCAAATCAAGAGCTTATATAGTGATTTTTATTTCTCTTCAAATTCTATTATGCGATACTCTTTAACACTCTCTCTAAAGTGGACAACCGGGTCATTTTAAATCTAACCGGTTGACCATTCGCAAATGGACTCTCCCTTCCCAATAAATGAATTCAAAGTACCAACAGCTAAAAGACCATGAATCCATGCGCATGAATTTCCAGACGAACAATCAATTTACATGGGCCACAAGTCATTTTTCCATACAAACAACCGAACTAAAGACAAATGAATCACTATTCCTTTCAATAATTGTACAACCGAGTCTGAGGATGCCTCAGAATGAACTCATCCTTTATGAACACTACTCCTAGTACCTAAGTGGCATAGCTGACAAAGCGTGTGGGACCTCAAAATTTACCTAAAATGATTACCATCACTACCCTCCTTTACCATTTTACTGCTCATTACAATACATCCAATCTTTTTAGTTCACCAAACAATCCCTAACCCCACACGCCAAGCACCAAACTCTGCATTCTCTTCTTCCTTCCCCTCAGTTTTCTGCAGATCGATCCATGGCGGAGACCGATAATTCCGATGAATCCCAAACTGAATACTCATCCACGGTTCTTCTGCGAGTGATGAGCAAGAGAAGGACATGGGTTTTCCTCTTCCTCTTCGTCTACACCCTCCTCCTCTCCATTTCCTGGAACTTCCTCAAATCCGTCCTCTCCTGGTACGAATCCGCCATGTCCGGCGCCTCATCGGGGCCGGGGTGGCCGGCACTCTACGCATCCGTCGTCTTGGGGGTGGCGTTCGGGGTTCTGTCCACGGTGGCGGCGCTCGCCGTCGTCGTCCCGGCCACTCTGGTCACGTGGATCACGGTCCTGGTTTTGCTTGCTTTCTGCGGGAAGCCCAGGAGAGCTCTGGTGACGGAGGGCAAGAAGCTGACCGCTGACATCACTCGGTTCGTCGTCAAGGTTTTGATCAAGGAGGGGAACATCGTCGCAGCCCTCTGCGCCCTCGTCGGATACTTCGCCCTTGTCCGCCGGAGTAGGGACGGCGGCGGCGGCCCTGATTTTTAGTCTCTTGAGCTTTGACGGGTCCAATCCAAGGGACCAATGTGAGAATTGTCGAAGTATTTTAGGGGCGATTTGGTCCTTTCCACGGAATTGCAGCTTCGTTTGAAAGAAACCTTACCTTTTTTTTTTCTCCTCCGTAGAATCCGTATTTGTTTAATTGTTTGATTTTCTTCTGTCGTTTTTGGACAGCTAACAGTATTTATTTAGTTTTGGATGTACGGTGTACCATATCTGCTTGTAATATTCTGATCGCAATTTGTAACCCCTTTTATGTTTGTTTCTGCATTTTTTTTATACTTTCCTCTTTTTACTAATTTTATTTTTAATTTAATTTAATTAATTGTAGGTATAAAACTTACAATATATAGTAAGAAATAAATTAAAAGTTTTACAAAATAATATGTGAAAAAATCATACCCTCTTCGTTCAATAATAATTTTTTTTGAATAATGTGTAAAATCTCATGTTTTTTAAAATTATTTTATCTTCAAAAATTTTACAAAATACTCCGTAAGATGTAACAAGAAAATTTTATCTTATCAAATGATTGATGAAAATATGCAAACAAACATAATTTATCAAGAGACCGTGATAATAATTGAGATATTAACTGTTGGACGAAGGAAATATTATTTTATAAAATTAGTAGTAAAAATGAACAAATTAAACAAACTGAGTTAAGTTTGATACTCCCTCCGCCTCAAATTATAATGCATGTTCACTATTCACAGAATCAAACTTTATTCACTTTCTTTCACTATTTTCGTTATCAATTTGATAAAATAAAGTATTATTGTCACTATTAGTTTTGTAGATCTTTTGATATAGCATTTTAGTATGTAATTTTTATTTTTTTAATTATATACCATTTGTCATATAAAATGATTTGAAAATAATTTCAGACAAATATCGTAAACCGAAACATGCATTATAAAATGAGACGAAGTGAGTACTATACATATTGTCTGAGAAAATCTATGGAAGACAAAGGGAGTACATTTGATTTATAGACTTGCACTGTCCATCAAGTTCTAATGTACTCTATAACATGTATATTTTCTTCAACAAGTAGCTACTGATTGATTAGGGTCTCAATGGTTTCGTTAGTTATTCCTTTACTCAACATCAAGCTCTCGATTGTCGTCTTAGTATATTCGCCAAAGGTTCATAGAAGACCTAAGCTCCCCCACAATGTCGCTGAAAATGTGACATTCATGATTGATCCGATCAAATGGTTAACTAGGGAGCTACACGTTCATTAAATAAAAAACCTCTCCATCTTGCATCCACGGTGTCTCAAACTCAAGATCGCCTGAAGGAGTCTTAAGTGCTGGAAGTGGTGATAAAATGAGTCACTCCAATTTTCCAAAACTTTGAAGAGTAAATTTTTATACTAGTCTATCTATCACATTGCGGTTCTTCCAGCACAAGAAATACCAATCTTTGGCTTGGACTTATGGATTTGAATAGATCACTTTACTTTACTCGTTTAGGCATACCCAGCTTGAGTTAGAAATTTTTAATAACGTCAGTACTACTCATACCTATGAAAATGAAGTTAAACTCTCAAACCCATTAATAATGATAATAAGTCCCTTTTATGATCAATCAAAAAACCATAAACTTTTTTTTCTTTTTTGATAATTCACTTAGAAGGCATGTATTAAATTTTTTAAATATACATTACACAATATAAGAACACATATACTATCAACTTCACTCAATATTCTCTCTACAACATACCTGAGACTCTGAGAGAGTACATCAAGGCTACTATTGACTAGAGATTAGAGATGAAGATCATATGTCGATCTGCAACCTACTTCTTGGAGGTGCCAGCTTTTTTAGAAGAAGAAGAAGAAGAAGAAGACCTCGACGATTTGGTTTTCTTAGCCACTGATTTACTAGCTTCCATCAATCTCCACATGTACCAAGATCCAACAGACCTGTACGGCTTCCATTTCTCGCAAATCCTCTCCATCTCCGATCCTTCTGGCAATCCCTTCAGCCCATTTAATGCTTGAACTCCTTTTCTGACCCCCAGATCGCCGGCCGGCAACACGTCGCTCCGGTGCAACGAGAACATCATGAACATGTGCACCGACCAGACCCCGATCCCCTTCACTCTCGTCAAGCTCTCCATCAATTTCTCGTCGTCCATCGCCAGAATCAACGAATCGGACAGTGATCCGTTCGCGTATTTCTCGGACAAGTCGTGGAGGTAGCTTGCTTTCATGCCCGAGACACCGATCTCGCGGAGCTGTTGCGGAGTCAGGGAGAGGACGGTTTCGGGGAGAACGTTTGATTCGCCGCCGCAGAGCGCGAGGAAGCGGCCGAAGATCGTTCTGGCGGCGCCGGTTGCGAGTTGTTGGTGGAGGATCGATTTGGCCAGCGAGAGAAACGGCGGCGCTTGGGATTCGAATGTTGGGGGTTTGTGGGCTTCGATTAGGGTTGCGAGGAGGGGGTCGGAGGATTTCAGGTGGTTTAGAGCGGTTGCGATTTCGCCGGGATATGATAGTGGCTTGGGTTTGTCAACGGCGGAGTCGACGGCAATGGCGGCGGCTGTGATTTTAGGGGTTTGTTTGCGGATTTTTCGGGCTAGAAAGGGGATTTTAGATGGCGTGGGCTTAGCTGCGGCGTTGATAGTAACGGATTGAGTGGAGGCAGATCGGGTAATGGGTTTACCCATTTTTTGCGGTGGTTGTTACGGCGAAAACGCACAAAAGAAAACAACCAATTTCTAAAGGGAGCTCCCCTAAACTCCATTTTCAAATTTATTCTATTTTTAAAGACCAAAGTAGGACTAAAACATTGAAAATATACTAAAATAGGACTTCCATGTTTTTATTCCCAAAATAGTACTTACATTACCAAACATAGTTATATACATTACCAAGAAAGTATAGTAATTTGTACATGTACACTGCCACATTACCACAATGCAAAGTCACATTACCACAGTGCAAAGTCTTATTCCGGGAAAAAAAACATGAAAGTCTTATTTTGGTACTTTTGTATATGTTTTAGTCTTATTTAGGATGATTTCTATTTTTATAAGAATGTACTCCGTACTTGCTAATACTCTATACGGAGTATTTAGTATAGTTATCGAGGGCTACGAGGAAATTATGCACTGGGCTGCGATGACATTATGCACTAGGGCAGAATGCAGCGATGTCTTTATGAACTAATCCTGCAAACAAAACAGTGAAAACACCACAGAAGCACAGCGGAGTCACCAGAGCTGTCCTTAAGATAGTCGTGCCCGCCTACCGTACCGGAAAAACGTGGGCACTCTCCTCCAAAGATAAAACCGCTATCGTGTGTGAGATTGTACGGACCAACCACACACCAACGAACAAGAACAACGTAGGAACGTTGGCGACCAAAAAACTTTGAAGGGAATTGCTGGAAAGTTGGCCGGAAAATCAAGAGCTCTCTCTCAAAAACAAGAAATTAAAGTATTTCCCTTTCTCTTTCTTTCTTTCTCACTCATAAAGCACACAAGAAATGGAGAGGGACTTTGATTTTTCTTTCTTTCTCACTCAATTTGTCCCCCACACCCTCCATAACCACTTAAATAGGTAAGAAAATTTTTTAAAAAAAATACCCTCTCCGTCTCGAAGTATTCGTCCAGTTTTGACTTTTGGAACTGTTCATCTAAGCACTTTGACAGTTGACTTATCAAATTCTCTCAATGTGTAAGCCTAAATATAGTCAAGTGTGATCTTGTTTGATTTTTCTTAACATATACTGTAGATTATTACTAGTAATATATAATTTCTATAATTTTTTAATATACAAATTATAAGATGATAAAATGGATTAAAAAAAATGTATTAGATGGTGTGTAAAAATGAAAGTAAACAAATACTCTAGGACGGAGGCAGTAAGTAAATAAAAATCAAATCCAAATGAGTGGTTATGGAGGAGATGAGGGACAAATGGGGTACACCTTTAGAGCATTTGCAATGGTAAGTAAAAGGGATGCCTTGCACTGCCACGTCATCTTATTCCACTCATATCATGGCATGGCAAAGCTAAAATGCCTTGCTTGGTGAGGCATGAGTGTGGCACTTCATCTTTCTTTTTTTATTTTTTTTAAAATAATTTTTTTAAAATATTTTATGAAAAAAAATGTAAAAGAAAGTAGAATAATTTTTTAATAAAATAAATAATAAAAATATTTTTTTACGCTTAAAAAACATAAAAAATGTAAAAAAGTGATAAAAATAATGACTTGCCATTGTAGAACTTGTTACTCCATTCACTTGTCACACGCTGACTGGACTATTTTTTATTGCTTAAAACGTTCCATGTCGACGTGTGGCATTCTATTTTCGTCTTGCCATTGTTGATGCTCTTAGTGTACCCCTAGCATCTCACTTATCGCTATAGTTGTCCCAAGTTAAATTCAACTATTATTCCCTTATCATTGTTTACTGTTGCCAATTGCGCAGACCACCGGCTGAGTAAACTAGTAAAGTGCTTCTTAACATTAAACGATTGACTTTCGATCCATAGTTAAATAAAAATGAGATAAAATAATGTTTCAATAATATTTTATAAAACAAATCTAATAAATTTATTGTTGTATCAATACGTAATACAGATTATAGATTTTACTTTACATTAAATTAATGGTCAAAATTTAGCATAAAGATAAAATTAGATCAATATTGGTAGTAATATTTTTATTTCATTAATTACGAAGTAGTCCATGTAATATACAATTCAACTAGTGTTAACCCCGTACTTCGCACGGGCTCGTATATATTCTAAATTTCTGAAATTGTATAAGTATAATTTTAGTTGTTTTAGTTTTTTAATAGTGACAAAATATATTTTAAACTGGTTGAATATATATTGGTATGTTATTTAAAAACAAACAAATTCTACAAAATTAATGGTCATTGAATTTATTACTAATAAAAAAGTTTAAATTAATAAAATATTTTAATAAAAAGTGGATTAATTACATAATGATACATCATTAGAGAAATATATGTGTGTCATAATGTCACTTATCAGTCGTTACCCTTCAACGAAAGCAATTTTATTTTATTTAGTTTGTTAAAAAATATTTGTAGCAATAGAATAAATAATGTAATAAGATAAAATTTTTGAAACAAATTATTTAATTAATAAATATGCATATGTGATTAAATTTATATAATCTTTTTTTAAAAAGTAATAAAATAAAATAAGTTGTGGATAGTATAAAAATAATTATATATATTTATATATATATAATATGGAGTATATTTTACAATGATGAAATATATATTTATAGAATTATTAAAAAAATGAAAAAGTTTTATGCAAATGCATTCAAGATCTTTTAGAAAAATCAAAATGGACCAATGAATTGAATTGCATAAATCCACATCAATAGCGAGTGCACATGTGGATGCACATGTGGCATGCCACTTGTCAACACTACAACAATTGAACTCTCTTTTACATATATATACTAGTATTTCTACCCGTGCCATGCACGGGTTCAGACAAAAAATTTTTCCGATTTTACAATATGGATCTTGATTTTTGTTTTGAATACTATTCAATGGTCAAATATAAATGATCTAGGTTTGATGTATTTCTACAAATCTAAATATTTTCTCCCTGTATAAATTCAAAAATATATTAATACAAAAAGTAATAGTGATCCAATGATTCTTTTTCCTCACATTAATTTAAAAAACATAAACTACCGAAATTATAATTATATACTCCCTCCGTCCCTGAGTATTTATCCACTATTGACTTTTTTTATCAAAATTGGTAATAATATAATGATATTAGATATTGTTGCAAAATTAGTTTTATTTGATTTATTATATTATTCATTTTCAAAATATTATTTTATGCACTCAATATATAATATATATTTTATTTAATTATAAGTCAAATGTTGAAAACAGTTAATCGGAAAAAGTCAAAACTGAACAAATACTCAGGAACGGAGGTAGTAATTAAAAAAAAGATTCTTCTCATCCATAATCCCAACTACCCCCTCCCCGCAATGATTATAAAAAATATTATTCTTTCTTGCATTATTAAAAAACAAAGTCTTAAATTAGTGATCCTAAATCTCTATTATTATAAATTTTAATTTTAAAATATTAAGAATCAATTCTTCTTCTCCCCCATATTGATTTTAAAAAACATTAAAATGTTAGTGCTTCAATAATTTTGTCGGGATAGTATTATGGTCAAGATATAAAATGTTCTATGAAAATATAAATAGTTACAAATTGGAAATTATATTTTTCTTTGATGTGGTTGTAACCCGTAACTGAGTCTCGAACTTATTAGCTATTGCACCTTAGATTTTTCTGCACAATTGTTCTTAGTTTTTTATTATCCTAAATTTTCATTGTCACAAATCTTCTCACGCTCCCTTCCACACCTTGATCTTCTTTGTCACAATCTTCTATGCATAAATCTGTGTCGTCTCATAAAATATCACCCTATGAAGTTTTCTCTCTTATTCAAAATTTCTTAATTTTATGTATAAACATTTTGAATTGTAACACAATATAAGTATGTAATGAGTAAATCATAAGTTACAATATAAGATTATTTTAATTATTTTAGAAGTTGATTTTATAAAAATTTTTATTAAAAAATGACTTTTAGTTTTCACTCAATTGCATAAAATTTCATGTATGTTCTAATTTCTTCAATAATACTCCATGTGTATTTGGATTTGATCTTCTCAATTAATTTTCTTGTCAATTTTGTACGAAATATACTTTAACCTCGATATATAAAACAAACATTCTCTTTCGATAGAAATGCATTACCAAAACCTTCCTTTTGAAACTAAGGAATCTCTTAATGTTTGGTAGCTCCTATTTTGGAGATATAAAAAATTTGCAATTTTATTTTGGTATTTTCTCCATGTTTATTCCTATTCAGGTACAGAGTATTTTTTCCCAAAAAATTATAGCGAAATTTTTGTATAATATATTTTTCTAATTTAACACAATTATAGTTCAATCTTCTATTGTTTTTAAATTTTATTTAAAGTAAATTTTATGAAGATATACTTTAATGTAGTTTTATAATTAATTAAAAGTGTAATTATAAATGAAGAGTAAAAAAAATAATTGGGAAAGAATACTATTATAAAAAATGAATTTTCCTATTACATAATTAAATTTATTCAAAGATTTCTTACCATAACGATAATTTCACATTTTATGCGTCCTAAATTAGGTGGAATATTAGGTGTCAAAACAAATGCAATTATTTTTATAGGTGGTGAAATATTTTATTTATTAGGTGTTAATATTTAAATAAATATTATCAAACTAACTTCATTTATTTAGATGTATCATAAAAAAAATATAAAATTTATTTAAAAAAAGCCTCACAAAAATCACTCTCATTTTTTATATATAAAGGATTATATTTTTAAAATTGAAAAGGAATTTTTATACAATCTTTTTTTAATTATGAAATATTATAAAAGATTATGTGAACTTGTAACAAAAATCACCCTTGCTTGAATGGCTAGAAATTCAACCAAATGTCTATGGGGTTTTGGCTTCAAATCCCCACAAAGGCATGTTTTGGAAAAAAACGCAAGAAAAAACACCTCGGCAACTGGTTCGACCGACCGGTTCTTATTGGTTCGATCGGTTCATGGTCCAAATCGGCAAGTTTGGTCTGATCCGGTTTTTAAATACGTGGCAGATGACTTGTTAAAAAAATCCCAAGTAGACCTGCCACATGTCGAAATTCTGTGAGACGAGTCTCAAATATTATAGTAAAGGATATATATATATATATATATATATATATATATATATATATATATATATATATATATATATATATATATATATATATATATAGGAGGATAGGATATATGATAGGATATATAGGATAGGATATAGGATAAGATTATAACTTTAATTTTTGTTGATAGAATATGACGTACACATACAAATATATTCTTGTTACACCACTTTTAGGGTAAATTTCACCAATGGTACCTGACTGAATTTTAGTTGGAATTTCGAAGTGGTACCTAAACTTTAAATCCTTTCACAAAAATCCCTGAACTTGCACAATCCTTTCACTAAAAGTCCATTTTCCCGTTTCTAGGTTAACTTCCAGTCATTTAGGCCAAATTAGAATTTTATATATTTTAAAATTTTTAATTTGACCCCATTTGTTTTTTTCTTTTCTTCCGCTCCCCGCCGCTGTCACACCACGTCAAAGTCGTCGGGTCAGATTCCAGCGGGGCCAACGTCATTCTCTTCGTCTTGGGATGAGGATCAAGAATATTTAAATCATTTTTTCCAATTTGGCCTGCAACTCCTCGAATTTGAACTTTTCCACTCAAAAAAACCCTAACATCTGAAATTGAGGATTTTTGCAAATCGCCATCAAATCTTGCAATTGAGGAGTCCTTGGGGGTCGCCGAGATGTCACAAACACATTGGAGGGGATGAGCGACGACAATTTTGTCAGAGGTGGCCGAAAAACGCTCCAACCCGCCTTATTTCAGAATGAGTAAAACATATTTCAAAATGAACACTTATATTTGTACAGGAATGAATTGAATACTACTTTAAGTCAGAATGAGTAATACCCGGTTGTACCTATCTCTAGGTACAACCGGTTGTACCATATACATACTCCACCTCTGTATGACCTAACTCACTCCTCCACCCTTTTTGATTGCACCTCTCTAATTTAGTGCACTTCGAGGTTAAAAAACATTGACTTAAAGATGGCTAAATATGGAGGTTACAATTGATTCTAGTCAATTTGGGGATTTCTCAAGGAATTAGAGGCTTATGAATCACCATTTTACAAATCAAGCATTGAAGATATCTAGTGTTTTGGAATCAGTATCACTTAGGTAGTGTTTGACAACTAGCATTTTATTTCAATTCATGCATTTCAATTCCAAAATTGAAATCCTGAATTTCACATGATAAGATGAGGTACATGGATTTCAAATAAAGCTTTGTTATGAATGAAAAGAATTTAATTCAAATCCAAATTCAAAATTTAAGTTTCCCAAACATAGTGATAGAATTTAGGAAGGGATATAGATCACTGAATTGAGTAATAAGACACTTGGGTTGAATCACATTAAAAAATTGAATCCAATCAATTAGTTAGTTAAACTCAAGAGCTTATATACCGATAACTTTTCTATTCAACTTTCCGATGTGGGATAGACTCTAACACTCCCCCTCAAGTGGACAACCGGACCATTTTGAATCTGACCAGTTGACCACTTGCAAATGAACTCTCATTCCCTTGACTTTTTTTTTAGCGCCAACACCTAAAGACCACGAGTCGCTGGGTATGGACTTCCAGACGAGCAATCGTGTTAAACGGGCCACAGGCCGTTGGTTACATACTTCATACGGACAACTAGGCTAGAGACAAACGGGCCGCTAGGAATGAACATCTAGACGGACACCTTGACAAACGAGGTGGGCCAAAACCTGCTCTGATACCATGATAGAATTTAGGAAGGGATATGGATCACTGAATTGGGTAATAAGACACTTGGGTTGAATCACATTAAAAGATTGAATCCCACATTAAAAGATCACTGATTGTGTGTGTTTTTGTTTGGCGTTTAAATAGGATACCCCTAGAATGATGCAAATTATATGGTACAATTCGATGTACCGTACATCATGACAATCTTATTATTAAAAAATATTTTAGAATGAACACTATATTATTTTAAAATAAACAATTACACTCAGTACACTTGGAATGAACATTACTTTCATGCAAGAAAAACATTTATGTACATCTCAATGTACAATATAGAGTCTTTAAACATGACACATTGAAATATAATACTCTCTCCATCCACAAATAAATTTTCCGTTCACTATTCACGTGGTCAAATTTTATTTACTTTATTGGTCTATTTTCATCATCTATTTAATAAAATAATATAATAATGTCACCTCTAGTTTTGTAAATCTTTTAATATGGGTGTAGTTTTTTAACATGTAATTTTTATTTTTAAATTTTACACCATTTTTTCATATGAAATAATTTGAAAATAACTTCAGTCAAACATCGTAACGCGCAACGAGAAGCTTATTTGTGGGGGGAGGGAGTATCATTGAAACATTGCTTGCGTTTTATCTTAGGACAAACAAACAAAAACGAAGTTTTACCCTTGATCTAGTGGAGTAATTAAATGATCACCCGTGTCTTGACTAGTCAGCGGTTAGTAGTTACACCGCAGTACATTTGCCTTGTGATTTCTTGCTTTCTGGTATAATCAATCTCTTCTGATTCTTTCCTGCATCTATCTGGTATTCCTCTGCGTCCATCATCCTTCAATTTCTCACCCTTATACCGTCATCCATCACGCGGAGCTGTCAAAAACACCCGCCCCAATCATAGACGACCCGGTTACCGGTTACCCCTCCCCCACGCAAAGATCTCGCCCGCCGACCATAGTTTGATGCGGGAATCTACTCTTTGGACCTTTTATTCCTTGGACTCCTCTCAAGTTAGTTCCATTTGCAGGAATGAGGATCTGAGTTCACTGAGTCTTGAATATTGGGAAGCCAGGGTGATCCAAGGTATCTATCACTCCACATGACCACATCCGGGTGTTCTATATGCATCAATCTCTCTGCTTTAGAGCATTGGTTTCTACTGTGGCTGTGATGCTTTGTTGATTTGGACTTGATATCAATGTGTTTGCTTTGGTGCATTAGCTACTATGTTGGTTTCATTGTTTTCTGGGTTTGGACTTGAACCTTTGGGGACCATTTGCTAGTATTTTGGTTCCAATATTCCTTATTTGGACTTGATATGAATTACTAGTTTGGTTTGGGGTGTTAGATACCGCTTTGATATCAATATTCTCTTGATTTGGGCTTGATATCAACTTGCTTGCTTTGGAGCATTAGCTATTATTTCGGTTTCTTTATTTTCTTGATTTGTACTTGATAGTCATATTACTGCAGGCACTGTTTGTTTCTCTCATTTTGAGCCTAGTAATGGTGAAATCCTATGCTAGCAAAGTGGCAAAACGAAATGGTCTGATTTACCCCACAATTGGGTTTGCATCTCTTGTGGTTTTCATATACATGACCTTTGGAGGCTTTTGGCCAGATTCCCATAAAGAAACCATATTGAATTTTGTGGAGAGGAATGGGACTCAGTTCTTTGTGGATGGAAAAGCCTTCTATGTGAATGGGTGGAACTCTTATTGGCTGATGGACCATGCTGTGGATGAGGGTAGAAGACCGAGAATTAGAGCCATGCTGCAAGCTGGTGCTAAGATGGGTCTCACTGTGTGTAGGACTTGGGCATTCAACGATGGCGCATACAATGCTTTGCAATTATCCCCCGGGAGATTTGATGAAAAAGTATTTAAAGTAAGAATTTTTTCTTTCAATGGTCATGTTATCTATTTCATTTTATTAGTAAGAACTTTGCTTTCAATAATTACCACTGCATTTCTTATTGAATACCCCGGAGTACTATTTAATGTTTTCTTTAATGTCCATTGAATTATTTTTTTGTATTTTTGTAGCTCTATTTTGTGGATATTGGAAATTAGAAAATGGTCACATTTCTACTTTAATTTTCTACCTCATCTTTTGGCTATGGCTTCTATTTTTTCCTTTCAATTTTACTGCTCTATACTAAATGTGGGTTTCTATTTTCTCACTGCTGAAATTAATATACGGAGTAGTACACAAGGCATAAGCTTGAATCTCAGAGAAGCTCAAGTCTTTTTGCTACTTCCTGATACTATATAAGCAGACATTATTTTTTTCCTTTTCTTCCTAAAAAAATCATTTTTGGTTAAGGCACGTCGTGGTTGTTGTTGCTGCCACTTACTGCTAATTGTTGTATGCCAGGCCTTAGATCATGTAATTGCAGAAGCTAGACAACATGGAATTAGGCTGATACTCTGTTTAGTTAACAACTTGCAAGCTTATGGTGGGAAGAATCAATATGTTAAATGGGCATGGGAAGAAGGTGTTGGTTTAAGCTCCTCTAATGATTCATTCTTCTATGATCCAACCATCCGTCATTATTTCAAAAACTATGTCAAGGTAATCTTCTATGCTATTCTCTTGTTAATTCGTCTTAAATATATGCCAACTAACTCTGTCATCGTTGTTATATGTTGACATCAATTCCATTATACCTATAGATTATGGGCACAAACTTAGGAATATACCCCGAAGTATATATAATGTGCAACCTATATGACAAGTTTACTTAGTAGTCACTTGTCCTCTCTTTGATCTTTTCACTAGATTAAATATTTTTTATTGCTGGGTTTTGTTATCCTCCACAACAGAGATTTATAAAGAAAGGTTATTTGGTTCTGATTTTCCTTTTTCTTTTGCAGACGATATTAACAAGGAAGAACACAAACACAGGTGTTGAGTACCGTAATGATCCCACCATCTTTGCGTGGGAATTGATTAATGAACCTCGATGCCTGATAGATCCTTCAGGTGATACACTCCAAGTAAGTTTTGAATAATTTTCACTTGTTGCAGTCCTTCTTAGGTAAAATAATGGGCGGTTTAAGCATTTGAAAAAGTAATCGAGTAGAATAGAGGTATATTTACCAATAACTACCCAAATTGTCCAATCCTCGTGAAACTGAAACATCAGTAATGATATGTCAGCAATGCCTGTGATGGTGGATGGTCTGAATATTCACTTTCAGTTTTTTTCAAGAACACAGCCATTGTCTGCTTAAACATGTATCAGTACATATCCACCCCACCCCCTTGTCCCCCTCAAAAAATAAACACCAAACACGATTGATATAGTGGATGATTTGTTAAAGAGCAGTTAATTAGTAAAAGTTGCATTCTTTGTCCTCTCAAAGGCTCAAACTTGATTGTGCCATTACGTTCTTCTTGAGTTGGAAAGTATAATTCTCAAATAAGAAAATGAAGAGCAACATGTTTATATTTTCTTTCAGAATGCTGTAAAATTTTATACTTTTGTTTATATTTTCTTTCAGAATGGCTTATAAAATTAAACAGATAACTTCACCTAAGATAAATGAGTGAAGTCTTTGCTGTAGATTTGTAATTCTTGAGTTCAGAACCTACTTCGTATATAGTACTGTGGTGGATATAGTACATCAAGAGACAAGGTTTGATTGCTAAAAGAAAAGATTGCATTTTGACGATGTTGTAGAGTTAACACAACAGCCAAACTAAAATCCCATTTGAAATTTGCAGACTGATACACTGACCACACTAACACTCTGTCTTGGACCTCTTGGTGTAAGAATTTGTAATGGAAAAGAAAAGAAAAAGCATGGAAAATATAAAGTAAAAATGGAATATGATAATTTTCCTTCCATTTTGGTGAGGAAAGGGAGAGAAAATATGCATGCCATATCCGGTCAAAGCCAACCTAACATGTTCATTAAACACACCCTTCAGCCATTGGCTGAAGTTATAGTCCTTCCCTTTTCCTCAATAATATCTCTACTAGACAAAACAAGGGTAAGATTTTGAGTTTCTTTGGCCCTTCCTAATTCCCTGAATCTAACAGAGTGTAAAGGTCTGGCCCTGCAGGCTACATCTAAATAAACTAGAAACATTCAAAACCTCCTTAAGGACTTAAGGGGGCTTAATATTTGCACCACGGGAAAAAATCTAAAAATAAAATAAAACTACATAAAGTTGTAGTTGTACTTGTATGCTTCACATTGGTCATTCGGCAGCATCAATACAATGGGCGGTTGGGCTAGCTTGCAACGAAGTGACATGTACATCAAAGTGTACATTGTTGAATTTCAGTATATCACCGAGAAGCACCATTCTATTAGGCTAGTTTCCCAATTTCAAGCCTGATATCCTGAAAAGAGCCATCTGAAAAACAGCTTCGATTCGTCGCTTTAGCTCTCTCTGCTATGTCCTAGATCCTAAGTGGCCTCATATTGAGGACATAATTTTGTAGATTTTGGAGTTTGATTGCATTTTGTTTACCAATTTGTTTATGCTCTAAATAGTCCTCTCATATTTTGAAAATTCTTCCAAAAAACCACACATATAAATTTGACTCAAAACCTCCAATCTTCCTAGAGAAACGTCTCCAAATAGTCCTATCTCATTTTATAACTCTTCAAGAATCAAGACATCCACTCATAAGTGTATGACTGCATGCATCATTATGAAATAACTATATCCAATAGAATTGCAGGAGTGGATTGAAGAGATGTCAAGTTATATAAAGTCAATAGACGGGCGTCACTTGCTGACCGTGGGCCTTGAAGGATTTTACGGTCGAAAAAGCAGCGGGCAAAAGCTTACACTTAATCCTAATTATGGGGCCTCCGATCTTGGAACAGACTTCATTCGCAATAATAAGCTGTCAACTGTGGATTTTGCATCTGTCCATATATACCCCGACCATTGGGTCAAGAATCGAAGCTTTGATTACAAATTGGAGTTTGCAAGGAAATGGGTACTCTCTCACATTGAAGACTGTGAAAAAGAACTGAGGAAACCGGTTATGTTCACCGAGTTTGGGCTGTCCACTGAGAGCAAGCATTCCAAAGCCTCTCACCGCGACAGATTCTACAAGGTTGTTCTTGACATCATATACAAGTCTGCTAAACGAAACAAGGCAGGTGCCGGTTCGCTTTTCTGGCAGTTTGTTGTTGAAGGAATGCAAGAGTACAATGATGAGTTTGGGTTTGTTCCTTGGGAGAGGCCCTCAACATATAAGCTGATTATAGAACAATCTTGCCGGCTTGCCAAAGTTCACGGCAATCACCATATGAAATGTCCTGTGTAGGCATAAGTTTCAGGAGTTCTTAGCAGTGTAAGAGGCAACTATAGTTACTCTGTAGTTATACAATGAAGTTGGCAATGAAGCTCTTTGAAGTTCATGGAAATCACCATATGAAACTCTTGTTTTTTCACAGTAGTAACTATTGGCTTCTACAAGTGCACTAGCTAAGTCTTGTTTGGTAATGGTATATGAACATTTATGGTAGGTGAAATAAGTTGCAGAGATAGCTGGCTGGCACACAAAACTGAGATTGAAAATCATTCTTCTTCTTTTTTTGATTTACTTTTTGGTGTGGCTGGTGCCAGATCTAACACATTGGACATTGGTCATAATTTGTACATGGTTTTTTTTGAAATATATAGTTGTTGTTGTCTCCTACTTTTCATTAGTTTTGTTATGTTGAGAAGTAAAAAACATAGAACTCTTATTTTGGTATATTTTCAATATTTTACTCTTACTTTAGTCTTTTTTCTATATTAAATCTAAAATTTGATATAAATATACTCCGTAATAAATTTGAATTATTTTTTTGAACTTTTAAATTGAAAAATATCTATAAAAAATAAACTTAAATATAACCAATATTTGTAATCGTTCAATAGAAAAAATGTCTACGTATATAAATATATATTTTTTAAAATTTTAAAGATTGCACGCAATAAAAGAATTTATTTTTTTCTAGAAATCTTCCATTTCATAATAATCAATTTTTGAGAATTCTTTCAATTCCTAATAGAATCACCAAGGATTTTTCATGACACCCCAGTATTTTCTTGAGAAATACACCTAAATAAGACTAAAATATAGAAAAGATACCAAAATAGGGCTTCCATATTTTTATTTACAAAATAGGAGTTCACACTGTGATAATGTAGAGGTAATGTGATACCGTACACTTGCACATTACTATACTTTTTGGTAATGTACATGACTGCATTTGGTAACTTAAATGCATTTTAACTCCTATTTCGAGAATAAAAACATGAAATCCTATTTTGGTTTATTTTCAATATTTTATTTCTACTTTAGTCTTTTTCTCTATTTTATTATCCAAAACTTTATTAATATGAATCTTTGAGTAGTATTCTTAAATATTTCTTTACCGTCATTATATTTTTGTATGTGGCAAATTTAACAGTAAAAAATGAAAAATTTTATGGAACATTTTGAGGTAAAAAATAAAGAATGGGTATTTGTTTTCAAGACTGTTGGCTCTAGAGAAAAAACATTAGGAGTATTTCATATATCAATAAATAACATTGAAGACCGAAAATGCACTTTGTATTCTTACTATATAACATGCAAATACAAATGTTGTGTATGTGTATTCGTTTATTCATCCTCTTATCCATTGAATAACAGAAAATACTATCATATTGTGTCTAATTAACCAAACTTATTCTACAAAATAAAATGGCTCAAGAATTAGCTTTGAGGTAAGCCAAGATGCCAACAAGAGGTGCATTTACATAAGTAGTAGGCTCCGAGTGGGCAAAATCAGTCCTATCATCGGCAAACTTGTCATTCCCATCTGGCCCTCCCACCACAGCCCCAACCAACAAATTCAGGTTTGGGCTTTTGCTTTGTAAGTATGGACTCCCATCTTTGCACCCAATGGGTTTCGGTCGAAGACCAACCGAAGGCAACGAAGACCCGCGGTGGTGTATTCTCTCGGGGAACGATTCCGTGAACCCGACCATGTACGACATCTTCATCGGATTGTTCCCCAGTATGTAATCAACTTGCGACTTCGCAAACTGTACAAGTCTTGCCGGAGTGGCCACTACTTTGCCACAACTGACTGTCCTTTTGCTTGCTTCCAAGTATTTCCCGTATGTCAGGAAAAGAAACGACAACGATGTCGCGCGCTGAATGTTGCATATCGCGTTCGGTTGGAATATGAGACCACCTGGAATTAACACATATGATTCTAGGACTCAAATAGGACTGGTTTTATTTAGAAGAAAGGGTAATAATGTTTTACCATTGATCAAAAACATTTTTGACTTGGAAATATTTTTAAGGCAACATAATGCAAAAAAACTGTACCAGGAGTGAATTTCTCAGATCTTGAAGGGGATTCAGGAAGAACGTTGCAGATGAGTGCATCAGCATTGGGAATGAAAAGGTTGAAATCTTTGCCACCTCCTCCATTTAGAATATACTAAATGTAAATATAACAAAACCAAAGGATATAAAGTGAGTAGTGAAGTATATATATTAAATGAGATGATCGAGGTGTAACAAATAAAGTAGCTGGTGGTGGTTCTGGTATTTTTAACATTAAAAAAGGTAACGAGAAAATATAAGAAAAATGACATTTTGGAAGACCTAAAACGGACGAAGCGAGGATCAATGAATAATATTCGCGCGGTCTAACCTGAGAGGCGAGCACATTAATGCCGGCATCCTTGCTCTCCCATCCGAATAAATTTGTAGCCATCCCGAAAGTATTGATGTTCTGCCTCACATAATCCCAGTAACGTTCCTCATTTGTTGCTTTGTGCAGCCATATTGCTGCCCAAACCAATTCATCCTACCAAATATATATGTACACACAAAATTAATTAGAGTGCATACATTTAGAATAAATTGAGGTGTGCATATATATAGAATAAATAGAGAATACATATGGTGTATGTATATACCTGATAACCACCAAAGTCACAATAGAATGGACAAACCCATCGCCCAATGCTATTATTGTACGAACCTCTAAATTTATCACCAAATTCAAAGACCTAAACAATTCAAAAACATCCGTTTAAAACTTAAAACTAATTTTAAAAAAAATTGGTATCGTCTTAATAATAATGCCATAATGGTAACAATAATTTTCAAGTTTGGGAGTACGTACTTGGGCAGCCCTTTGCAAGATCCATTGGGAATACTTAGGGTCAGAATCTTTGAAAGCCAAGGAAGAAGCCGCCAGGGCGGCGGCGATCTCGCCGGAAACCTCCGAGCCAGGAGACTTATCGGTGACGGCAAAAGCGGTCCGAGGTGTGTCCATGTCCTCCGGCCTTTCCCAACAATTATGGTCCGCCACCGGCTCCCCCACCAAAGCGAAAACCGTGTTCTCTTTGTTCGTAGCCTTCATCAGAAAGTCCGTCCCCCAACGTACCGCGTCGAGTGCGTGGGGCCGCTCGTCACCGCCCATGTCTCCGCCGTACTCCACCACGCTCCACGCCAGCATCGTGGTCGTAAACGCCATCGGAAAAGTGTACTTCACGTTGTCGCCCGCGTCGTAGTACCCGCCTACTAAATCCACCTGAAATATAATGTGAAATTTACTAAAACATAAGTTATTTCACAATGTAAGAATTAAACTTTTTTATTCCCTAAATAGGACTTCATAATGACTAGTGAGAAGAATAATGTCCATGTGATGCTGGACATTTAGTTGAATAATGACTAATTAATAATGATTAAAGGTCCTACATCATAAAATAAAAACATATGGTCTTATATTGAGAAAGTCATTATATTTTAGTCATATTTAGGTAAATTATCCAAATATAATTTGTACCATTGTTTAAATAAATCGAATTCGAAAAAGTACGGAAAGATAATTTTGAGACGAGATGAGTAAGTACATTTGAAGTAGAGCCGTCGCGAAGACCGGAATCTTTTCTCCAAGTCATACGTTGGTTGGGGGGGAGTTTGCCGGACCTCTGCCCCTCGAAAAATAGGATGCTCTTCGACAAGGCGTCGCCATAGTATTTGTTCGCCGCCATAACAATGGTGATCATTAGTTGCAGGACAAGAAATGAAGACGTCACTATTCTCACTAATATGGACGCCATTTGTATTTGCAAAACGAGAAAAAACGAGAAAAACAAAACAAAAAATATTAAAATTTATTTGTTTGTTACGTTTATAATCAAAATGACTGCTTGTTAATTACAATTACTCAGTATTGGATATGTTTGTTGATGAAGTGTGTGTTTGTGTGTGTATATATACATATCATTAATGGCCTATATTTATGGCTGTTAATTAAAATTCCAAATCACACATGTATAAATATATAGCTTTAATTAACTTGTGCAAAAATATTAATTCATGGACAACCTATCAATTGCCTTATTGCCTTATTTGGATGCATATATTAGTATAATTAATTACTCCCTATTATTTGGAAAGTGTTGTGTACCGTCCCTTTTACTCCTTATCCACTTATACCTATTACTCCCTATGTTCCTAAAATATTTCTCACTAGAGTTAATCTCGTGCTTCACACAGACTCATATATATTCTAAATCTTTGACATTCTATTAATAAAGTTCGTTCATTTTAGTTATTTAATTTAATAAATTTATAATATGCGAGATTATTTTTTATAGTTATAAGATACATCATTTTTAATAGAAGTGTATTTTTAATTTTAATATAGATGTATTGTTTGTTTTTTTCATTTTAATGTAGATGCATTATTTTTTTCTTTTTGTATTGCTTAGGTAGGGTTTTGAACTCTTCTTAGATATTGAAAATTAGTAAAACAGAAAATGATGAATATTTCAATAATCCATAACTTTTTTTATTTTTAAATAAAGGAAATGGTGAATAAATTTACAATTAAAATTTTTTAATTATTTTATTTTTATAAACATAACCTTTATATAAAGTATGTTACAATAATGAAAAGGTTAGGAGATGAAAAGTTTAAAACTATACCGAAATAAGAAATCACCCTACGTACGTAGCACTCTAAGTCACTCAATATATACATATAACACTCCTTAATCTTTTATACAAATTTAGCTTTTTATAGTGTCAATATCTTCCAAGCATACCATCTATCTTTTATTATATTCTACTATTTTTAATTACTTTTAATTATTTGATTAAACTTAAGTTATTCACGTAGCCACTCCTCCTCATACGTGCGGCTCCTCCTCATTTGCATGTGTATCTCATACGTACGAGAACGTCATCCTACGTCGTTTACCATGGCTTTGCGAGATTCTCCTCCTACGCAGTTTATCAATGCATTGATGCCTAAATAAGTTCGTACTTATTAAATTAAGTTCCATATTTAACGCCCATATTTAGCTAGTATATTTTGGTGTAATAGATTATTCATGAAATCAGTCATACATTTTTGGGCAGTATGGAATTCATACATGAAAACAGTCACATACATTTTTGGCAGTGTGGAATTCATACATAAAAAGAGTTATACATATTTTGGGCAGTGTGGAATTTATACATGAAAATAGTCATACACTTTTTGACCGTGTAGAATTTATACATGAAAAGACTGCCACATAAATCAATGAACATTACCCTACAATATGAAATTAAGGAACATAATAATAATACACTTACACACTATCATAAGTTATCAGAAATTCAGAATATATATTCATTCTACACTACCACCTTATATACTCACATATAAAAAATCACACAATCCACTACATAGTTAGAAGTGAACAACCACACTGTCCAAAATAATCATATTTTTTGGCAGTGTGTAATGAATATTTTCTGTTTAATTAAAGGACAAAATTAAAATCACAGGTACAAAACATATAGCACTACTATTTATAGTATTTTAAGGTTCTAAAATTACTATTTTGGTTTTTCTCCCTAACGAAATAATGAATACGGAGTATTTAATACGTAGTATTAATCTAGAATTTCAAAAGAATATTATTACTATAAAAAGGAAGATTTTTTCCATATTTATATTTACTCAAATATTTGTTTCCAAATTTTTAATTTTATAATTTTCTATAAAAAATTATGTGACATATTAGGTGTTAGAATGCAACATAAAAATTATTGTTTTATGTCCTCTTTGATAGTATAAATACAAATGACATATTGAGAATATACGCCCATGAAAACCCGTCCTGAATACACATTCAAAAGACATTTTGAAGTAGAATTAGATATTGGGTTAGCACTTAGGCCTTGCCTAGCACCACTACAGAACCCTTAAGGCCCCGTATGGTACATGAAATTCAAAGTATGAATTTGGAATTGAGGACTTTAATTCCGATTCGGGTGTTTGGTAGCAAAAAACTTATGTGCATTTGAAATTGATAGTACAAAAAATAAATTGGAATTGCTAAATTCAATTATATGAAATTGAATCTCATGAAATTTCAATCCAATCCAATTCCAATTCCTTCAATTCCGTATACCAAACGGACCTTAATATTCAACACTCTCCAATATAATACTACGTACTCTATACACCCCCATATCCTACTACTTCAATCTCCTGCATATATAATAAATTAATACTTTCTCACCATTATTTTCTTAGCTTACTCCTCTCCTCATAGAGCTCGAGGTCACCATTAGTGGTGTCAAGCTCTACTACTTCTATCATACTCTCTCCGTCCCAGAAAGAATGCCACAGTTACTATTCTGGTCTCTCGATAATTTTTGTTTGTTTACTCGTTTTGGTTGACCATTTGATAAAATAAAATATTCTTGTCGCATCTTATTTTGTAGAACTTTTCATATAATTTTGAATGGTTTAATTTTTTACTTTTTATTACTTTACCAATTTAAAATTAAAGTGATTTTAAAAAAGATAATATTTTACACATCGTTCGAAGTGTTGCAAATAAATTGGGACGGAGGGAGTATAAACTCTCCCAAATACATAATAAAACACCCCATGGTCATGGTATTGCCTAAAAAGGCTTACAATTTATATCGATTTAGTTTCTATGTAAAATTATATTCCCTTCATCACATATTTTTTTGACTGTCTTCAATGCAATTTGTACTCCATTTGTATATTAAAGACATGCACCAACATTTTGATGGTTTACACTGACATAAAGTGTGGTGCGCTAACAAAAATTTACACTGACGCAATGTGTTGGTGCATTAACAAAAATTTACACTGGCACAAAGTATTGGTGCATTAACAAAAATTTAGCATTACACCAACACAAAATGTTGGTGCATCTCTGTGGTGTACAAAATAGGACACAAATTAATGGAACAGATAGTTTTATCCTTTCTGATGGGAAATAATACGTGGCTCGGCCCACATTTCCCAATTGTTTACGAAGAACAATCAAACCGGACCTGTTTAATGAAATGGAGGAATAAGAGAATATTCTCCGAAGATGCTCCTCCCCCCTCCTATAAAAGGAGGGGTGCCCCCAATGTGAAGAGGGGGCCATTCCAGAGCACGGGCAATGGCAAGTAGAAAATGGAATGCCACACGGTGACGTGGAATATTTTAACCAATCAAAACCAGTCCAGTCAGCGTGTGGCAAGTGAATGGAGTAGTATGCTGTACAATGGCAAGTAATTGTTTTTGTCCATTTTTACATTTTTTAAACATATTTTAATTATTAAAAATTATTTTACTTATGTTTTTTTACAAAAATAGATGTACTCCTATTTTTAAAAAAAATCTTCTTTTTTTTCAAAAAAAATTAAAAATAAAAGAAAAATAAAATAAAATGAAATCTGACTCGCTGAAGCCTCAAGAACCGTGGAAAAAGTGGAATCCCACGCGAGGCAAAGCTCATGGTTATCCTACATGTCATGTATATGTCATAGCATGGCAAGCGGATGGAGCGCCGCTGCACATGCTCTAGAAATTTGGTAGTTTATTTTCTTAAAGAAGCCCCAAGCTTCCATAGCTTCCATTAATGGCTTCTATGCCTAAATCATGTATCGTGTATACACCTGCGATATTAATAAAAATTCCCCGTTGGCAAGGTACTGCCAAAAAAGACTCGTGGTTTTCTCCCGATTTGGGTTTCCACGTAAAAATACTCGTGTTTATATTTTGGTGTATTTTTCAGACTAGTTTATCGTTTTTGCCGGGCGAAAACGATATACCGGTTGATAATTTACACCATCATTTTGGCGCCACCCGTGGAACCTGAGCAAAAGGCCATGAATTTTCAATTCCTTCATTTGATTTTCTTCAGGAGAGACCCAAATTTTTGGGCAACTTTTTGGCTCACAAAAAAAAAGGAGAGAGAAAGCATAAGGATATGATCTCACTGCCAATTCGTCCCTAAAGCAAAAGAGGGAGAATGCTCCATTGTTCTCTTCTCACCACCACAAATTAAAGAAGAAAAAAGACCACAAATCTCTCCAAATTTTTCGGCTTTGCTCCTCAATTGGAATCACACTGTGAAAAATCTGATTAACCATTGCCGCAGAAGAACAGATCCAGTTGTTCTTATTGGTGTCCATACCATTGAGGCCACTCACTGCATCTGTACGGAGTGGGGGAAAGATCTGGATCGAGTGCCGAAATTCGACCTCCTTGCCTCCTCGATGCCGCACACCGTTGCCCCGCCGTCGGAGAAAGTTATCCTTGCCGTCAAAGCGGAAGAGCCGATCTCCAAGGCGGCGCTGGCACGGGCTCCGTCTCATGTCTAACGCACCGCAAGATATCTAGCGTTGTCACTGCTTCCCCGGCTCCGCCGCAGGCCCTGAGATCTACCACGGGCTGGAGGAGCGTGGGGAGAGGAGCAATCATGAACCGCTGTCGACACCTAGCACCAGAAGCCCGCCGTTGCCAGCACTGAGCTACTCATCCCTAGGGAACTGTCCGTCCATATCTGTAGCAGCCACCAAAGTCGGCCATTACTACCGACGAAGCCAAACTTTGTCGTTGCCACTGTTGGAGTCCTCACGACCGCTTCAACGTTTCCATTGAAGCCAGCCGACCACGGAAGACTCCAATTTCTACTCGATTTCGTAGCTGACACTCCCACCGCTGGAATCTGGTCATTTTCGCACTTCAAACCAACCGCCGCTGCCCAGACTCGCCGCCGCCGTTGCCGCTGCCCAGACTCACCGCCGCCGCTGCTCCGATCCGCGGCCGACCACTGCAAGAACTTCCGCTACTTTCACAATTGCCGCAATATTGGATCACTCCCAGGTCGAGGTTGAAGAGGAAGAAGAAGATTACCAGTCGCTGCCATAATTTCATCGGTGGACATTTTAGATTTGTTCAACATAGCCACCGCGGGAGCCAACCGGCGCTGTTACCACAGATCTGCTGCTGACGTCAGGATCGGCTACATATTCATGCCTCCTTGATTCCTATCGAGGAGGAAGAAGACAAACATGGAGGAGCAGTGCAACTGGCCAAACAAAAAAAACAGGCGAAGCTACGCCGAAGGAGGAAAGAGGGATATCACATCGGATTTCCCTTGGGAATGCCTTAATGGAGGCATGTGTTGATGGCCCACCAAAGAAATGAGCACTGCATAAAGTGGAGCAATTACCGATCAGTGTAGAATCTCAATGTTAAATTCCTAAAGATGTAAATCGTGTTCAACAAACACGACATACTTTTTCCCAATTGAAGTTGTGTTCGGCGAACACAACTTTGAATTCCTAATTAAAACTGTGTTCAGTGAACACAACTTTGACTCCTTAAAAAAACAAGTTGTTTCACCGTTATTTTTATAGATTATAACACAATTAAATGAATATAACACAACCAAATGTATGGTGCAATGATTGAAACTACAATTTGTATAACCCAAAAAAAAAATTAAACATAACATTGCCTATTTAAAACAAAACATACACTAAATATTTAAAAACAACATAAACTAATATTTTAAAATAACATACATTAAATATTAAGAAGACAACAAAAAACGATAACAAAAAAAATTAAACATAACACTGCCTATTTAAAACAAAACATACATTGAATATTTAAAATAACATAAATTCCCCTTGGAAGTGTTTTTGATCCTTCCGTTGTCCACTTCATCTCATTCCCCCTGGAAGCGTTTTTTGCCTGCGGCGACCGGAACGCGATATTTCTCCTTCAGGCCTAATCGGTGGCAATACCGGATACTCTGCATAATTAAAATCATTTGGAAATATCACCGGTCTAATTTGGCCAGTGTAACAAATCTGATATCGTTGCACACTGTACATGTGAGAGACACAATCATCGGCACGTTTGAAAGAATGGAACAAAGAGTGTACATGCACGCATGGAACACCGTCTCCTTGCCATTGTCCACAAGTACATGACTTATTCCCCAAGTCGATCACAAAGTTGTACATATGCCTTGGGTTAGAGATGGAAGCCCTAGAGACAACGTATTGATGTCCGCCATAATGCATAGCCTGAAAATCCATGTGTTGAATTGTAATTCAGAAAATCCATCATTGCATTTGAGTCCCCAAATTGTGACCCAAAAAGGTCGTGCTGAGTACCGCCACCGAGTAAAGTGTCCATCTCCTCCGCATGGCTTGAGCTCTCTGCATGTTCTGGCACGATCATACATATTGATACTTTTTTATCTGTGAAAGCCTGATCAGACCAAACACGACTAGATCGATGAGTGGCTTGAAGTGTGAGCATATCATCATTCATCGGACCGGCAAGTTGACGCTCTATGTCCTCCATATCTGCATAAAATAATGTGAATGAAAAATATACATTACATTTTAAATAAAATATACATTACATTTTAATTAAATAAAATAATATTTTTAAAATATTTGACATAATAAATCTAATAAAACTCTTTTTGTACCAACATCTAATATCATTTTTATTTAATTTAAGGTCAAAGTTTACCAATTTTAACCAAAAAAGTCAAAAGTAAACAAATACTTAGAGACGGAGATAAAAGTACCAATTTTAACCAAAAAAAGTCAAAAAATAGAAGATAGCAAAGTTGGCAATACATAAGTCTAGCAAAGTGCCTAAAATTACTCCGTATATAGGGAGGAAGGGAACTAAATGTTTAAAACTAAAAAAACATGCATTAAGGACTTTGAGAAAAGCAAAACCAAAAATAAAACATAACAATAACAGAAAGTGCAACATTTAATATGTGTATATATATATATATATATATATATATATATATATATATATATATCATTTAACTCTAGTATTACATAATAAAAAAACATACCTTTGATTCTTAGCACAGGAAAACCGAAAATTTCAAGACTAGGAATCACAAAATATTATCAAATTTGTGATACAAATCGGGTTCAAGAATCCCGAATTATATAATAGAGGAAGTCGTGTTCGCTGAACACAACTTTGACCAACTTTAATGGAGTGGGTGTGCTGGGGAATCTGACATAATAAATGTTGGGTGGCATATGGAATCTAACAGGTTGGGTGGCAGCACGCATGTTAACTCTTTTACTTTTTACACAACTCGTGTTCGCCGAACACGATGTTAATTAATATTTAAAACTCGTGTTCACCGAACACGACTTCAATTAATGTTTTCAAATTCGTGTTCACCGAACACGACTTCAATTAATCTTTCATACCTCGCGTTCGCCAAACCCGTATTACACTGATAGGAAATACTTTTCAATTTTAGGAATTTGTACCATGTTTTTTTCACTGACTGGGAAACCACCCGCATAAAGTGGGGAATGATTTCCAAAGATAAAAAGATACTCTGTATCTTTCTATTGTACTACTCCATTGGAAGGCATCAAGTCACGAGTCACTGATGGGTTATTTCCTATTTTTAAGAGCTCCACTCATGAAAAAGGGGCCTTATCTCACATGCAAAGGGAACATGACAAAGAACTTTAACATAGCAGGGCCCATCAATTAATCATATTGGTGGGAGATGTACATTGAATATTGCGGAGGAGGAAATAAGTTCCCCACTTATTCCTCATTGGGGTCTACCACCAACAATTGGTGAAATGAATTCGGAGGGAAGACTGAGACA